CTAAACCTAGTTGCAAACCAAATTCTCAAAAACGGCATGTTTAGCGATAATACAGCTAAACATTTTAGTCAAAGAGCAAATAAATATAACTAGGCCATTCTACAATGAAATCTCTAAGTATTCCCGGTCAATTTTAGCAAATATTTCCAGCACTAAACAGTGAAAAATGCATCGCAATTTTGTAAAAATTGGCGACGCCAATTTCGTAGCTAACGAAAAACATTTACCTTGAATAGTTTGTCGTGGCTTAGGCATGTTTTTAAAACAATTAGACCAGTTTATGCTTCAATATTACTCTTTTAAAGCGGAAAATATAGCGAAACAACAAAAATGCTGAGAACTTTGGCAATACACGTGACGTCACAGATTGCAACTAGGTTTAGACTGTGACGTCAGGAAGTTTCCAGTTTCCAAGTATCCAGTTATTTTACAATCCAGGTTTTATGAAGTACAGTAAGGGTGCGGTTATTATTGGTAAAAATTTTGCTGATCCAGCCATTAGAAAGTAAAAAGAAAATTACAAAAAAATTTTACCCAACCTCAAATATCAATTAAAAATAAATACCTACCCCTGGCCGCAAACTTTACAAAAGGACACCGTTCAGTTATCACACATGTACTGTTTGTCCCAAGTTGTCAACAAATTTTGCTGTTAACAACTTGTAACAACCTTGTTGATATTATCAGACTTGTCGCAAGGTTGTTCCAACAAGTCCGATACAGTCATGATATAACAATGTTGTTACAACCTTGTGTCGTCAACCTTGTAACATTCTTGTTATATAATGACCGTATCAGACTTGTTAGAACAACCTTGTAACAAGTCTGATAATGCCATCAAGCTCGTTACAAGTTGTTAACAGCTCGTTTCAAACTTGTTACAACAACTGGGAACAAGCAGTGCGAACACAACTTGTTGACAGGTTGTGAACAGATTTGGAATAACTTGTTTGCAGACTTGTAACGACTTGTGCGTGTTTACGTTTGTAGAGGACTCGCTGTAAGGCAATTCCATGCACCTACAGACTAAATTTTGATCAAGGCAAGAAGAACGAAATCCAACACCACAGCTAGAAAGAGCGTCTTACAATGAGTAAAACTGCAAAGATTGGTTGCTAAATGTTGTAAAATGAAGAAAATATCGCACTGTGAAGTTCGCAAATTTTGTATATATTTGTATAACCACTTTCAGCTCAAAAATGGTTATTTTTACCGCGCGTAATACAAATATATACAAAATTTGCGAACTTCACACGGCTATATTTTTTTCATTTTACAACAATTCGCAACCAAACTTTGCAATTTTACTC